AAGGGGGTTAGGGATGGAGAAACATGCAGCTGATCGAGGAGCGTTGGTGGGGCTAGAATGGCAAAGTTAAGGGGGTTAGGGATGGAGAAACATGCAGCTGATCGAGGAGCGAGGAATCAAGCACCTTGAGGATCTAAGCCAGCCATGCACTGAGCTAGCGCCTTCCCCCCCACACTTTTTTAAATCAGGCGGACCCTCACTATTGACGACTTTGAGATTGGGCGTCCTCTGGGCAAAGGCAAATTTGGAAATGTGTATTTGGCCCGGGAGAAGAAAAGCCAGTTCATTGTGGCGCTCAAGATCCTCTTCAAGTCTCAGATCGAGAAGGAGGGAGTGGAGCACCAGCTGCGCCGAGAGATCGAAATCCAGGCGCATCTGAAGTATGCCACTCGCCCCGACCCCGGCGCCCCTGCAACCTAATGGGTCACGTTCCTCTTACTGCAATCCCAACCCTGTCTGCTACAATGGGCCCACCTGCCCAGCTCCTCCTTACCGCTCCCACCCCGATCTAGGTCTCTGCCCTCTGTCTCCTAAACGCCAGCCGAAGCTTCCTCTCTCTTTGCCCCAGACATCCCAACATTCTTCAGCTCTACAACTACTTCTACGACCGGCGGAGGATCTACTTGATACTGGAATACGCCCCGCGTGGGGAGCTCTACAAGGAACTACAGAAGAACCGAACTTTCGACGAGCAGCGGACAGCCACGGTCAGGACCCAGTGTGGGCTGTGAGGCTGGGGCTGTTGGCGGAAATGAAGGCCTGTTTGACCTTCTGTTGTGGACCCTCGCAGATCATGGAGGAGCTGTCGGATGCCCTGATGTACTGCCACAAGAAGAAGGTCATTCACAGAGACATAAAACCTGAGAACCTGCTGTTAGGTCTCCAGGGGGAGCTGAAGATTGCGGACTTCGGCTGGTCTGTGCATGCCCCCTCCCTGAGGTATAGTGGGGCTAGTGGACTGTCCCTGGTGTGCGGCTGTGACGTTCTGTATAAAACTCTTCTGTAACTGGTTGGTGGTGGTGCAGGCCTTTAATCCCAACACGTAGGAGACAGGCAGGCAGGTCTGAGTGACCAGGCTAGCCTGGTCTACAGAGCGAGTTTCAGGATAGCCAGGACGGTTGCACAGAGAAACTCTGTTTCAAAAAACAAAATTAAGATATCTCGTTTCTCAGGATGGAGTTTGTCTCCCTGCAATATAGACATAGTGATATTTTGGGGGCTTTTTGTTTGTTTATTTATTTATTTTGTTTTCAATTAGGTATACAATGTTCTGTCTGTATGCCTGCAGGGCAGAAGAGGGCACCAGACCTCATTACAGATGGTTGTGAGCCACCATGTGGTTGCTGGGAATTGAACTCAGGACCTTTGGAAGGGCAGGCAATGCTCTTAACCACTGAGCTAGCAGGCAATACTCTTAACCACTGAGCCATCTCTCCAGCCCCCGCTTTGTTTTGTTTTGTTTTGTTTTTGTTTTTGAGACAAGGTTTCTGTCCTGGAACTAGCTCTTGTAGACCAGGCTGGCCTCGAACTCAGAGAATTCACCTGCTTCTGCCTCTCAAGTGCTGGAATTAAAGGTGTGTGCCACCACCATCCAAAAGAACCTATTTTTTTTATATAAAAAAATTAAAGTGCTGGGCAATAGTGGTGCGAGCCTTTTTCAATCCTAGTACTTGGGAGGTGGAGGCAGAGGAACCTCTGAGTTCAAGGCCAGCCAGCCTGGTCTACAGAGTAAATTCCAGGACAGTCAGGGTAACACAGAGAAACTGTCTCCATGCAAAAATATACAATCTTGGGAGGTCAGGGTGGCACAGGCCTTTAATCCCAGCATTTGGGAGGCAGAGGCAGGCGGATCTGTGAGTTCAAGGCCAGCCTGGTCTACAAAGCCAATTCCAGGACAGTCAGGGTAACACAGAGAAACTGTCTCAAAAAAAAAAAAAAAAAAAGTTAAAGATGTCAGGTTGGTGCAGACCTTTATTCTCAGTGCTTAGGAGGCAGAGGCAAGCAGATCTGAGTTTGAGGAT